GTCATCAAAACAAGCAAATTCCTTCTTTTGTTTGCTTTGTCTTGTTTCCCTGGTGGTGACTCTGGTGACTCTTTTCTTGGAAAAGGTTTGGGCTGTGATGCGGTATAATGCCTTAAAGTAAGAAGGTTCCTACTCCCGGGGAAACCCGCATCCTGGTGGAGGAAACTATTTATAAAAAGGGTAAAGGAATTAAAAACAATTTTTTTAGCACTTTTCCAAACCAAGCGCTGCTCCGGTGTTTTCCATATGTTAGCTCATTTAACCTCACAAGAATCTGGTGAGATAGCTATCACTATCCCCACTTACAGGCAAGAGGTTGCCGAAATGACTGAAGGTAGCAGAGCTGATAAGTGGAAGAACCAGAAGAGAATGTAGATACCCTTGGTTCTGCTTCACCCTGCCACTTGAGAGTCATTACCTTGACCTACTAAGCCCTAGGCCTGCACATTTTGCTTATTTGGATATTTCTTCACTAATCAGGTTTTGGCTGCCTTACATGGCAACTAAATGTTATAATATTTGAGAATGTTCACGTTGGCTGGCACTCTAGGAGTCATTCACCAAGCTACACTATTTTCAGGATGTGAAAAGTTAGCTGATCTTTTCATCACTCGTAAGATACTCTCTTATGGGACCAGTCACTCCTACATTCATGCATTCCTCAAACTTTACTGAGTAAAGTTGGTCCCTTGCTGAAGGGACCAGCTACTCTTCCCAACCACAGAAACATAGCCTTGGGTATGGTCTCACCACGTCCCCAGACTCTAGTGACTCTCCTCAGTGCTGGGCTGTGTCTGGCTTCTCTTCAGGGCCATCTAACCATACATTGCTTCTCTGGTGGTCAAGGATGGAGAGTGGCTCAAAACATAGAGTTCGATTGGGCCCAGGGCCAGGGCTGATCTCATTCCAGGGTTGTCTAGCTGTGTGACCTTGGGCAACTTACTTAACCTCATTGAAGATTTAGTTTCCTCATCTTTAAATATCTACTTTACAGGGTGATTGGAAAGATGAAATGAAATACTCTACATACTCATGGTAACCACCTGATAACAATAGATGATGCCGCTCTTTATATTATTGGCCAACTCTAGGCATAGGCCCATTCCTTATGGGCCACAATTTGAATAAAGCAGTCATCCCAAACATGGTGGCTGATTTCTCAAGCAGATGTGTAGGAAGTCACAGAACCATGAGGCCTATCCCATGTGTCCAAAAGAGTGTTGAAGTTTTTGAACTCGCTTTGGCATTGGCATCCAAAGCCCAACTTTAGAACACTGGCATTTATCTGTTGATCTGTTGGGGCATGAGAGTGGAATCCATACTCTCAATTTGTTTTGATGGGACTGTAGTGATAGATTAGCTTCTGGAAAGGGCTGCTCTGTTTCTGGCTATGAAAAGTAGTCATGCTGGCCTCCTGTTCTGCTTTCTAGTTGATGGTGACATGAGATCTGAATTACTTCTAGCAGGAGAGGAGACAGTCCCGGGGTTGAAATCTGACCTTGTCATTTGCAAGTTGTGTGACCTTGGACCTCTTTAAGCCCAATTTTTTCATTTATAAAATATAGAAATAATAATTCTTGCCACAAAAGGGCATTATGTGGATTTAATGAATAAAGCGTAAGTACATAGTAGGTGTGCAATATTTGATCATTATTATTCTGGATCGGGTTAGAGGGTTATGTGGCAGTACGCAGGAGTATTGTCGTATCGCCAAAAGTGCTGATTGCCTGGTTATCAGGAAGCCCTCCTCACCATCACACCCCGCCCCCTTTATTCTCTTGGTGAATTTACTATCATTAATGGGCTGGTCAGCAGCCTTACTGGTACAGAACTGGTCAGGACAGTGCCCAGGAGCTCATGAAATTGAGGAATGTTTACTTATATTATCTGAACCCACAAGAAAGTGAAGGATAAATACCATAATGTCAATGTACTAACTCATTTTGAAAAAGATGATTCTAAGTGGTCCAAGAATCAGTGTACCTTATCTGACAGGAAAACTAAATAAGAAGTCTGACCATAATGAGGTCAGGTGGTTGCGTGGTGATCTCCTTCAGAGTGAAGGGAGTAGGGCTGAGGCCCCAGCATGTGCTGGCCTCCGCTCTGAAGGCCAGATGGCCCAGTTTCCCCAAGGGGCGCGTCTGCCAGGTAGCCCAGATGCTTGCACTGGTGTGGGGACACTTTCCCCCTCCGGACGGCCTGGAATCATGTTGCCTAAGCCCAGCTCTCCAGTCTCATTTCTTCCCTGGGCCCCCACACCAAATCCCCTTTCTGATTGACACATTCTTTCTTTAGATATGCTAATGTGATCGATAAGGTTACTGAAGAGTCCTTGTAGTCCCTGCTTCTGGTGTGGGAAACATTTCGTCTCTAAGATGCCTTTTGAATATGATCTTATCTACTACGCGTTGATTTTTATAGTGGAACTCTCAGAGTTTGAGGAAAAGGAGGCTGTCTTTACTTCTCACACATACTGAGAGATGGGGATTATAAACATGTCTTGGTAGACATGGATGGACATTCCTCCCTGACCTTTCAGAGAACTGGGTAGAAGCAAGCCCCTTTGCTCTGGATTCCTCTGGCTTTGTATTGAGTTGAGCCGTCATTTTCTTGAGAAGTCTTGTCTTTCTACCTAGGCCCATGTCAGGTCCTGAGATTTCATTTCCTCCTATTTATTCATGATAGAGTGACTTGTGTATTTCATTCATTAACTTTCCTTCTTTTCCTAAGTGATTTCTGTACTTTTAAAAAAGTTTGAGGTGACTTCCTGGGAACATAATTGGAGGGTCTGTTTTCCAGAGAAATCATTTGAGTGGTGAAAATTTACATATCAGCAGCTCTAGCTGTACCTGCTTCTTTTTTTCCCTTAAAATTAGTTTTGGGTGGGTGAGGGCAACACCTCACCTCCGTTGTAAAAATGCCAAGAATGTAGAGTGGAGAAGTGGTGTTTACATAAGTTTTGAGGGTGTCTTACCCAGGGACCAAAAACAATCAAAAGTATAAACACCTTCTTTAAAGGCTACAGTGACAAGAGAAATGCAAAGTCTCAAGTGAGTTGTGGGTCAAAGACCTTACAAGATCTGCTGACCCATGAAGAAAGCAGAGTTGAGTCCTCCAGGAACAGGGAGTGAAGGGGCAGTGTGCCTGCTGCAGGAGCAGAGAATGTGCTGGATGTTGGGTGCTGGGTGTACAAAGAGGGAAGGTCTACAGTTAGTGATGGATAAATAGAGAAGAATAATAAAATAAGAAGTGGGCCAAAGAAAAGACCTTCCAAAAGGAAAACAAACATCTTCTAGCTAAAGGAAAATTGCAGAAGGAAAACCTTTGTGGAATGCAAGGACGGTACAATGGATTTAAATCAGGAAAGCAGACATGTACACAATTAAGAGTCAATACTCCAAACCCTCTCTAAAATCAGTAGAGACTTTATCTGGCAGATATGTGTGAAATACAAGTCTTAGAACAAAGTAACTTTTAAAATGGAAACAAAGGAAAAAGTCTTCAAGTTTAACATTCCTGAAGGAAACAAAGGAAAAAGTCTTCAAGTTTAACAGGTGCTTTGAATACAGGGAACATTCCCTGCTGTTCGCAAATAACCTAAAATTTAAATTAAAAAAAAATAAGTGACAATTCCACTTCAGAACAGACTGTTGGGGTTAATTGCTGGGTATTCATCTAAACTCCTGTTCTTGCCCTGGGCTGAGACTTCGATCTCTATCTTGAACTGGATAATCAGAATGGCATTGTGACCAATGGATCTGTAACCCCAATTTTGATCACCCCACAACCCCCATTTTTCTTGGCAAATCCAACCTCCCAACCTTCTGCATCAAGGTGCTATTTTTGCCCAGTATCATCCTATTCCTAAGTTTGATATCAGTGGTTTGTTGGCCTGTGTAGCTAAGAAAAATTCTGGGGTATATTTCACGGTGTTTTGTCTTTGTTTTGCAAGGCTTATGTAAGGCCACGTGAAGCCACATAAAAGTCAGATTTCATTCTTTCTAGGGGAGAGGATGCATGAGGTGGTGATGCAGGTTTGAGGCTGCCTGGATATGAAGTCTGATGGCTTTAGGTACTAGCTCTGTGACCCTGGGCAGGTCATTCAATCTATCTGAGGACTGTGAGAATTAAATGAGAAGTACATACATACAGCATGGTGATGAGCTCTCCTGAAAATATAATGCATATTTGTTAAGTAAATTACCTCTTCTGAGACGTCTACTTTAATCTCTAGAACACAGCATACGATTGGAGGGCCCGGTTAATGGGAGGACTGTGGGTGGGGAAATGGTCTTTCTGAGCATAGGAGGTGGTATGCCTGATTCAGGACAGTAAGCGGAGGGTGGGGAAAAGTGAATCCCTTTTCAGAATGAAATCTTATTCCTAAACCTTCCCAGAATTTCTGCAACTTTGATCTAGCATTTCCCCTTCTCATTCATTTATGCTATGAGTTGATAGTGTTGGAAGGGAACGTTTTTTGTTTTGTTCTGTTTTTTTGTTTGTTTTTTATTTGACTGATGATACGTGTGTGTGAGAGAAACAGGAGTTGATCACATTTTCTGGGAAAAGAGAGACTGAAGAGAAAGGAGGGGTGATTAGTGAAGAACAGTAAACATCTGCCTAACATATGTGAACTGCCATGTGTAGTGGGGCCAAAGCGAGAATCTAGGTTTGTCACTTTCTGGTCTGGGGCTATTCCTGGAGGAAGAAATGAGGGAACTGCATCCACAGATGTGTAGTGAATTGTCCCAAGACCAAATGCTAGTAGCCCAAGTGAGAAGCTTGGTCTCTGAGAACATAGGTCTTGGGGTCTCTTGGCACTTCAAGTAGACAACTAATGTTTCTACTCACTGCCTCCTCCGTTTAGAAATATTTGTGATGCTTAAAAAAACAGACAAAACCCCAAAACTAGAAAAACCCTATAAACTGATTTTTTTAACTCATCCAGGAAAAACTATTAAATGAAGACGTGATTCCCACTGACCTTGAACTTCCTGTGGGGGTTCAGATCAAATGCATGTCACTGCTTTGTGCATCCAGCTGACTTGAAGTTCTTCATCAGCCTCTGGAAATAAAACTATTTGTTGCTTTATAATTGCTTCCTCCCTCTAACACAAATGGCAATGAAATTAAGTTTACCACAACCCTCGGGCCCACACTCCCCCCCCTGAAAAAAACCCATCCCACATATCTGAGGGTTAGCAGAACAGTTCTTTTTATAAACGGATGGGATGACATTATTGGAATGGAATGGGATGGGTGGCTCACACATTTGCTACTTCTGTGTCAGATTTCTGTGACTTTTTTATGTCTAGATTGAGTTGTGAGACCATAGCTCACTTAGGATTTGCAAGTCAGTGATGTCAAAAGAAGTATCTGGTAATGAACAGAATGCATTTTAAGGCCCTTTTAAAGGATACAAAATTAGTGCTATTGACTATTAATTTAAAAAAAGGATTTTGCAAATCGGTTCTGTTTTCAACTCATGGTTACAGTTTATAAAAGAAAGTAATTTCTTGGAATATTATCACTATCCATCCCCTACCTCCTTCACACTATTTTGCCATCTCCCCTCTCCTCCCCATCACCTGCCTGAGTCTATCCCCTTAAAAAGCAGCTATATTCTTAAAGCAACTTCCTCCGATTAACCACCTGATGTCCCTTTTGAACTATTTTAAAGCAGTTTAAAGAAAGAATTTATTAAGAGCTTTAAAGAGTAAATTGAACAGAACTCCCTATTTTCAAAGCAACAAAGTTTGAAGGGTGGGTTGAACTTTTCTGGAACATAAAAAACATCTGTTTTTTCCTTACAAATTGACCATCTCTAAACCAGATTATGCCAGCACCAAGTTACCAGGGCTCAGATATGAAATGGTAAGCCGCATGCCCAAGGGGAGTCCTGTCATTGGGATTCCAACCTCATCTCTGCGTTCTGTGTCCTGTGTTCTGACCATGGTATCATCGGCACAAATCAATCTCTCTGAGACTAAGTTTCTTCTTAAAAGGGAAAACAGTGATAATATCTTCCCTCCTCAGTTGCTATAAGGATAACAGTGTATTTGAAGATGCTTCACTGTAATAAAATATTAAATGATTATTCCGTGAGGAGTATGTATTGTACAGTCTCAGCTCATGAAAATTTACCTGACTGCATTCTCCTTCCATTGTTCTATTTCATGCACTGATTTATTTGCAAAAATGAGAACAAATGAGTTTTAAAGTTTCTGATTATGACAGTTTTGCTAAAAGGAAATTTCGTTTTAAAGGACAGTATCAACGAGGCCCAAGTTCAGAATGGGATTTTTTTTTTTTTAAGACCACCTTTCCTGGAGAACTTAAGTAGAAAGAGTTCTGATTCTGAAACTGGTCGTAGCTCATTGGTAGAAGGCTGAGCTACAGAAGAGGACCCTCAGGCTGCCGACTGGGCTTTCACTTCCTGGTGAATCTTTTGTTCCATTGATTTAAATGCTTAGGTTACATGGACACACGTGGTGCAGGCTGAGCAATTAGAAAATGTTCTTTAGACAGCACAGTATGCGGCCTTTGGGAAAATTATGCCAAAAGATAATTCTCACGTGGGCAGGTGGTAGGAGCTGAGGACAATTGGAAAGGGAGCAATGATCTTTTAGAGACAATTGAAAAACTGTTCTCGAAGCTCCAGGTACTCACCTTGGTGCATGACACGCGTGGCTTCTTTTACCTCACCTGGACGCAGAAGCCAAATGAGAAAGGTCTGTGTAAGTCCCAAGACTCGCCTCTCAGTATCTACAAAGGGGCTCCAGGCTGTGCTCTGTGGCCGAGTCCTGTGCGCACGCGTAGGAAGGGGGTATGTTACAACTGTACCCTCTGAGGAGAGCACGGAGCTCTACAGTGCCCAAGGATGGCGGGCAGTTTCGCCCTTGTGACTTCCGTGTTGGAAGCTTGTCACATCTCGTATTATACCTCCCACCTCCACATGCCCCCCGAACGCTTGCGATGACCCTTTTGTCGTCCCTGTCTGCCCCACCCCGCCCCTTGCCCCTCACCCATACTTCACATGTCTTTCCACTCTTCTGCTCGGGGCAGTTCGGAATTTGAGCAAAGGGCTGGCAAATAGCGGGGTTGGGAGTACAAACCCCCGGCTGGAGTACCGTTTGCATCCCACCTGGGGACGCAGGCTTAGGCTTCCCCAAAGGGGGAATCAGTATCAATGAGAACTGTGGTAACTTACCCCTTAGACAATTTTTCCACTTGAGCAAGTGGTGGAGAGGAAAGCAAGGAGGCAGCTGCGGGGGCCTTCGACCCCCAGAAACTTTTCCGAGAGGCCTGGCATCATGGGAATTTGCTCAGTATGCTTTGAGGAGGTATTTCAATCCTGCTGGGACCATACTCAGAGCAGTTTTTGGCTTCCCTGGAGTCCTAGGTTTGAATGTCACTGTCTAGAAGTCTCGTATTTGATTTCCTAAGCAGTTGTTCCTGCCCATGGAAAATTCATGTAACACATTATTAAGTTTCCTGAGAGGTATGCAATGAGACTCCCTTACTGTAATGAGAAAAGGGACATTTTTTCCTGTAGCCTATGATGATAACCACTATTTTTATTCAGTGGATTACATATGCTCACTGGCTATGCAGCGAACACTAGCCCGCGTGCAAAGGAATGCTGTGCTGTTTCCCAGGGAAGGAGGGTTGATGGTGAAAGACCCCATTTCATTCTGGGGATGACATGGTTTTACTTTGAACAAATGTACTCCAAGCAGGAGTCACCCCTCCATGCCCAACCATTAAAGAATGGCACTCGAATATCTGTCTGAGCCTTTACGAAGGACATGAAGTCCGAGTTCTGAGGTCACTCAGGAGTTATGGTAGCATCCTTCCCCTGCCTCCAAATGTGGGTGCACCAGCTTGAACAGATACGTTTGGATGATTCCGATTTAGAATATGAACCAAACATGTTTAATTCTGCACCCTTGAATCAAAATGGCTTAAAGCTGCTCCTTCTTGAACATGGCTACCCATTGGAATTTATGGCAGAAGTTAAAAACAAACCAATGTTGGTGTCCCATCCCCTGAGTTCTAATTCAATTGGTATAGGGTGTAACCTGGCACTGGACATTTTTAAAGCTCCTTAGGTGATTCTGTTGTGTAGTAAAATTTGAGAACCACTGGTTTGAGCCGTAAGTCGAGGTGATAAAGAGAAATCACAAGGAGGTAGGAACTAAGAGGTAGAAGAAAGACACGCAGAGGGGGTGGGGACATTAGGGTGGAAGCAGGAGGAGAACCAGGAAGGCATAACCAGGAGAGTCAGGGAGTGGGTCAGAGCCTTGTTCATGGCAGGGAAGCAGGGAACTACAGAGCAAACACAAAGACCCCTGCCTCAGAGATTTCAGGACTGTCTAGGATCCAGAGAGGCCTGCTGGGGAAGGGCCGCCCCCCTCCCCCCTCCCAAGTGGCTCAGGCTCATGCATTTCTGTGAGACCTGTTTCTCATTATTGCTATATGGAGGTGGAATTTTTTGAAAAGCTCATTAAGAGATGTTGCTACGGACAAATGGGCATGGGCAGGGGAGGGGTTGTCCTTGGGCCGCACTTGGTCTGCACCCCCACCCCCCCAGAATGTCTGTGACCTGAGCTTTCGCCACTTGCCGCTGCGTCAGGAACTCATTGTGGCCAGCAGGTGTGGGGCCATCTGGCTGTTTCGAGCGGGTAAAACCATACCCACCATACCACAGTTGCCACATTCCCTCTATGTGTCATTTCTGGCTGGTGCCCCCAGGAAACAAACCATGAAAGAAAGATGGCTTGCTCAATGCCATTGAACTTATTCATGCTACGTGAAGACAATGTCAAGAGGTCCCAGAGTGGAACAAGTATGTGAGCGGCTATCTGTCCTCATGGAATATTCATTTCCTTTGTCAGTCCCGGTTTTTTAAAAATCACACCTTGTATAGCCATAGCACAAGTCGTGTACTTCTTGGGAGTGAGGGGTAGAGAAATGGTTTCTGGAAAGAACGGTTAAATGCCACCCATTGTTAAAGACACTACCTATGTCCTCAGTGGGACATCAGAGCTTGGAAGGTCCTGGCAGTTTTGTCCTGTTCTGGAGAATTCCACTGTTTTTACTGCCCACTTTCCTTCTAGATTATATATATATATATATATTTTTTTTAATTTTATTTATTTATTTGACAGAGAGAGACACGGTTAAATGCCACCCATTGTTAAAGACACTACCTATGTCCTCAGTGGGACATCAGAGCTTGGAAGGTCCTGGCAGTTTTGTCCTGTTCTGGAG